TAGATGGATGAATACACAGATTGATAGATAGATGAAAAGATAGATACACACAGGCTGATGTATTACTGTTTTCAGTATATATATATATCTCACACATCCCTGAACTCCATAAGTGTCAATTCTACTACAGTGTGCATTAAATATTTCACTAAAATAAATAAATATATGTAACCATGACTAATAGGAACTTCTCTCCTGAATGTTAGCTGTTAGTTATTTATGCAAACCTCTTCTTCATGCAGCAAAATGAAAAGATACATATAGAAATGGTTGCGGAGCAACTATAGATCTTTGTCTGCTCTCACATACATATCCCCAGTTCCTCTTCTTCCTCTCAAAAAAAAAAAAACAGAATTAATCAGACATCAAGTTTAGGAGCTTTTTTTTTTTTTTTTTGAGATTCCACTTGGTTCCAAAAACCAAGGAGCCATCATTCATATCAGCCATCATTCTGGGACTCCATGAGTTAGGAGGTTTTTGCTGGATGAGTCTGCATTCTCTGCTCTGATTACTGTTTTGTTTTCCATTGATCCTCCTGTGTTAATAAAACCCAGTCTGAAGTGAACAAAAGCTTGCTTCTTTTTCTAGTATGAAATGTGCCGAGTGCATACCATATCATTAACATAAAAGTTTTTTGAAATAATACTGCTTTCTAGACAGACTGTATTAATTGCATCAAGCTTTTTACAGCAGGGTGGTCTAATCTAGGTCTTCTATTGGCTGAGGGCAGTTATAAAACCAACACAAATTGAATACCATGATATAATTAAAGGAAAGGAAAAAGTTCTTTTAAAACCTATTATTTACTTACAGGTATTTCTTTTATCTTTATTGTCACCTTAACCTTTGGCAAGGAAACACCAGACTAAAAGATGTAGTAAGTAGAATTTCAGTAGCCAAGTAAATTGATACTAACTTTACAAGACAACTGTGTGATTTGCAGAATGTCCTAATGACTAATACAGCTGATTCCTTGAAATAATGGGAGCCAGTTCCACTTTTCTGAGCGACAAGCCCATGCCTTCCTCTACTTTAGACCTTTAACTTTGCAGTCCTGTCCATTAATCACTTCTGCCCATGCCCACTTGCTGTTTTTATAAATGCAACTAAGTATCCTAATTGCTTTCCACCTCCTTCTATCAGCCTACATGTGGGAAGGAAGCAGTACCACTGGTTAGCTGAATATATGTGTATCAGACAGATTTAATTATCTTTACAGAGGTATATAAAATCCTCACTCATGGGCCTGGGTCCAAAGATTCTGGATCAGGAATATATCTAAAAGCAGGCATAAGGGATAAATTATTATCTGTATCATTACAATCCACTTTGTCTTATGCCAATTAGAATTCCATTTCTGGGGCTTTTGCACTGTAGGATCTTCAGGGCAGGGACTTTTTCCTTTGGAGAGCACACTGTAAAGTGCCATGCACTTCTGTGCTGAGATTTTCAAAGCTCCTTTCTCGTTAACTTTAATGGGAAATGGGCATCCAAATCTCTTAGGCAGCTTTGACAATTTAAGCCTTAATGTACAATATTAATAAATCAGCATCATAAAAAGAGCCTTATGAAGATGTATTGTGAAAAAATAGCCCCACAAAAAGCATTGCAGTGTATGTGTGCATGCACAGAGGCATATACTTTTCCTTACATAGTTATGTCTCTCAACAATCATTTGCATGTCTCTGTTATGGAAAAAAAAAAAAACGGTGTGCATTTTACAGTTACGCTACACAGTTGCAATTTATTGCAATGAAATAAAAAGCAGGCTCAAAAAAAGCACCCTAATCTGGCAAGGGGTAAAGCAATGCTTTGCCCATTTCTATTTTAGATCCAAGCTAGACAACCCTGTGAATTTCATGACTCTATTCCAACTCCTAATTAAATAGGCACTAAAAACATTTAAACAGGAGAACTCAATTCAACAGACAGAAGCCTCTGAGGCAAATAAATAAATAAATAAAGAGACAGAAAGATTGTTTCAGTAATATTTGTAGATATTTGAAAGAATCATATTGAAAAACATAGACCTTTACTCGCAAATTCCTCATCCTGTGGTGCCTTGAATGCAAGTAAAAGAACAAAGACAGAAGGGAGCACACCAGCAATCAGAGAGGGGGACAGTGGACACCGAAGCCGCGGAGCTCCCAGTTCCCAGCACCATCTACTGTAACTGCTCTCAGCCACACACTTTATAAAGACTGCAAACAGCTCTGACGAAGGAGGATGACTTCCCTTTTGCACAACTGAGCCCTGCTCTGCAGTGCACTAGGCAACTGCTCTTATCTACGTCTGAGATTTCAAATGCAGCGTTTACACGTGAGTAAATACATCCCAAATTCTGCAGGCAACCGGAAGTTTAGATTCTACAGCATAAAATTGCTGAGATTCTTAAGGACCTGATTTGGGGTACCTGCAACTTCAAGTCTTCAGATTTGCAGCCTGCTTGAAAACTGTACTGAAAAACTCCAGGTCCTGAATTAAATGAATGCTGAAAAACAGGAAAGGTAAGAAATGATGAAGGAGGGGGAGAGGCGGGAACTGTTGATGGCTTTTGTTCAAAGAAGGAAACAATTCCTCAGAAGCAAGAACAGGGCTGGCAGAATAAAAAGCTAATCAAGCTAGAGAGACAAGCAGATCTCTAAAGCTGTAGCAAAGTGACAATTGTAAATGGGTATAAGAAAAAAAAAAAAAAGGACGACATAACATGGGGACCATCACTAGGTTAGGGTTATTCGTCAACACACAGAAATCACTTTTCTTTCATTTCAACAAAACATTCTGGGAGCCAGATAGATCCTGCTTCCCCTGCTACAGGGTTTTAATCATGCTCAGGCTCATCTACAATGAACACTAAGAGAGCTAAGAAGGGGTTATAGTAGACACAAGCCCCCTTTTCAAGGGGAGAAAATGTTTCTTTTAAGCACAACTTGACCAGCTACAGTCATAAACATGTAGCATGCACTTTGATATAGCCTGTTCTCTAAGTGCCATAGACTGCCACAGTAATTATAGGAAGAGAGGATAACAGGTCTACCACTGCACAGAGCTGGCACCGTTCTCTGAGCAAACGGACAATTCCAAAAACTAACAGTGCACAACTATAAAGTGAGTACTGAAAGTAGGTAAAGCACAAAAGCCTTGTGTTCCCATGTTCTTTAATGAGCTATTCCTCCCTTCCTTTTCTATTTTTAGTTTTACTTTCTTCCCTCTCCACTAGCTGTTGGTATCAGAAGCAATTGGGAACCACGGGTATCCAGTTCACTGTTACAACTACCTACCTATCAGAGCTATGTGTGCGTATACTGTATCAGTGAAGACAGAGAAAAAGGAAAATAAGAGATAAATTCCAGTTTATTTTTCTAGTTACAGGGAGGAGGGAAGAGGGGGCATTCAGAGGGGAGATAAGGGGGCAATCTGACTTTCTGACACGCAGTTCACCATTCAGAAGAGCCCATTTCTACACTCGTTCCTGGCCAGTCTCAATCTACTGAGGTCAGCGAAGCAGAGAGAGATTAAAACAGCATCCACCCCCCACAGTGAGTACAGCAACTTGGATAGGAAATTGGACAAACCCCCTGGATGCTTTGACTGCGCTGCACTGTGGAACGTGTTGCTCCAAACCCAAGCTTGTGCCCCGGACGAAGAGCCAGTGCATGGACTGAACCTCACCCAGAGAGCCGAGGCAGCTGCCCACGAGCCACCCGTCGCGTATGGATCTAGAAAAGGGCTCTGCAGGGTGTTTTTTGCCTTCCCAGTCGCGTATGGATCTAGAAAAGGGCTCTTTTTGCCTTCCCGTGAGAATATCTAGTCTTTCAAGACAAGGTTTCCAAGATGCGGCTTTAAATTCCTTGCAAGGTTTTTTCTCTTGCCTTATTGCATCAAATAGGGATGCACAGGGATATTCTCAGGAGACCAGGTATGTTGTGGCCAGGTCGTGCCAGTGCTCACAGAAGGAAAAGGCTGTGGGGAGCAAAAGTTAGGCCAGCTTCAGGGAACACGAGGAGCCATTTTCTGAAGGCTTTACTCACGCCAGCCCTTACTATATGTCTAAATCCTTTGGTCCTCACACATATCCAGCATCACTCTGCAGACTCCCTAGTAAATCCCCACGGATGTGTGCATGAACAAGGGCTGCAGGCTTTGGCCCACCGCAGTGTAAGCAAGTAAGCTCTTGAGGATTTTGCCACAGCTGTATTTTCTTTTAAGCCCTCCCCATTTTCACCTCTCCAGTGCTCAGTTCACCACAGACCCAATCTTGCAACTGAGCCATGCTCAGAAACACCCACTGATTTCAAAGAGATCGCAGGGTATGAAATGATGGGGTCTGGCAACAATATGTCAGTGTCCTCTTTGGCTAGCTCGATGCGCCCTCATTTCCACAGCACTTTCCCCTCCTCGTGGTGACAAAAGTCAGGCATCCAAAAGGAATAAAAGGAAAAGGAAAACTCATGGGGGAGAGGGGAGGCATGTATGGCAAGCTACCAAGGAGCATTTTCTGAAGGCAAGGGAGAAAACTGCAAGGAGCACATACATCCTGTGTGCACATGGACTCTGAGGAAAGCCTTTAATACGAACGATTGGGAGGGGGGAATAAAAAGACCTCAGATGTTAAATGTTATCCAATTAAGCTTAAAATAAACAGCCCAGAGAGATGAAATCTTGATACCAGGGTATCACATTATGTGAGGATTCTCAGACATTTGTTCACAATGTGGCACAAACAGACCAGCCACGGACGCTGGTGACATCTGAGAGCGGGCAGGCAGGAGGGAAGGGAAGGGGGAAGAGAAGGAGCGGAGTCACACACCCTCTCCCGCTCCCCATCCTCCGTGATGGCGGATGGGAAAGAAGGAAGAAGGGGGGGGGATGTTGAGGGCATTTCCACTGCCTTCCCCACACAACCCAGTGCAGGCATCTCTCCCACAGTAAAGATGACATCACTTGGCAGCACTACTGACCTTCAGATAGCAACAACAGAAAAATAACGTTTCTATTACCTGACAACTGACAATGACATCCAAATGTGCCTGACGTCTCAGTCTGAATCTCAGTCTGAGTCCCGCCAACTGAGACTGCACGTGCACCACAGCAGGGCAGGCTAAGGCAGGGCGGGAGAGAGGCCAGTGCGCGGAGAGGTGACGTGATCACTGATGTGTGAGGGTGGGAGGAGGCAGCTATGGGAGCCCCCGGCAGGTTTGCAGGCCTGGACGGCCCTGGAGAAAAAACAATAGAAAAAACTGTCAGTCGGATCTAAGTTTGAAGGGACAGAGGAGGCATCATCAGGGAAAACAGGCGAGGTGGCGGCTCACTGCCTAACTCACTACACGCTGCTTCTGAGCTGGTTTCTGGGTCAGACTGGGACTGGAAAGACTCACTCGGAGGCCAGGCAGGAGAAACAGGCTGGGGAGAAGAGCAAGAAGAGACCTTGGGAAGGGTGAAACCCCCGCGCGCCACAGCCGCACGCCGAGGGGGCCCGGGGACGAAGCGGGCGACGTGGGAGCTGCCCGCGGTGCGGAGCGGAGCTTAACGTCACCACCAGCGCTTGCTGACGGACCAAATCAAAAAGGGGATTATTGCTTTATGGCTGTGTTAATGCCTTTAACTGACACAAGACTGGGCAGGCTTTATGCCGAGCTGCCGCTGAAAAGGGCTTGACACAGCAGCGCAGGCAAGGTGCAGGGACGTCGAGCTCAAACGGCCCTGCGGAGGTGCCAGGAATCAAGCTCCCAGAATAAAGTGTTCATGGGCCACTGTGTTGCCTTCCCATTTGAGCTGCAGCCAGCTGAGTTTTGCATGCCCCGATTATACAGACCTCCCTATCAAGCCTCTAAAGAATGGAGCAACCTTTTTCCTAGCTAAAAGTCGACGTTGTATCCTCCAACTATCCTATTTAGTTTTAACCCATCTAGGAATGCTGTATTTACAGTTTTCTCCTGCTCCACTAGAAACACTCACTCCTCCTGGCACCAGTCCAAAGAAGAACTCCATGGCTTAAAAAATTAAAATGCAAGTTGTAAGTATCTATATACACCTGCACAAGTACAAACAGCCAGAAACACACAAACACACACACGCACACACACACACAAGCTGCCACAATGAACAGAGTTTTAAAGACAAGTTGCAAGAACAGCACAGCTTTACCTCCACTGAGCATCTGACCCTGTTTATTTAAGACTATGCCTTCCATTTAATTACTAAATAAAGTGTAGCTACTAATCGAGGGCAGTTTCTAAATGAAGATATGCGGTGGAGTGGCCGCCATTAAAAAGCTGGCATTTGCCAACAGTTACCACACAGTGGTAGATTAGAAACCACAGTTTCCCCCTGTATTTAGATCAGGAAATACGTGTGCTAATTGTGGGGTATCTTTGAGCAAATACTCTCCTTCTTTTAATGGCAGCAATTCCGTCTGTGCATCCATGTGCACCTTGCATAAACACACTAACATCATGGCAGCAAGAAGAAATATTTATCCATGCTCCAACCATAGCAAAGCAACATTTTATGAGCGAGCCTCTCCACCTCGAGCATCCCTATTCAGAAACTTGGGCTACATGTTGATCTGACAGCTACACATGTGAGGCAAGAGGGGATACTCCAGCCTTGGCACAGCATCCAGCACTCTAGTCTGCAAGGACTGCATTTGATTTTGCCGTTTATCTTAAATGGCTAAGAGACCACCAGTGCAAAACATTTGTGTGAAGCCTTTGCCAAAACCACAAGTGAAGAGGCTAGATTCCCTGTATAAATACTTGAGCTTCAAGCATCAAGGATAAAATTTGTGCTCTTTTGTGAGGACTGTTTTTAAATAGAAGCCATCTCTGAGGCTCATGGGACCAGGAGGGTTTTTTTTGTTTTGTTTTGGGGAGCTCAGTTTTTTGGCTTTAGCAACTGTTTGATCTCCCTGGAAATAACTATACAACCAGGTAATGATAACTACTATCTAAACTGTACCTATGCTACAGTCTGGGCAGGCCAGTGAGCTAGGCAAGTGGAAACAGATATCCAAAGGAGATTTTTTTTGCTGTATGTACAGGAGCCACTCTATTGCTCCAGTAACATACCTGGATAACAAGTTTTCCTACAGAGCAAGGAAAACCTAAAAAAAAAATCCTCCAATTACCTAAGTATTGTATTTTATATTTTAATATTATAAAAATAAGTGGGTACCACAGGCTATGTCCAAGTGGTGAACTCAGAATCTGGATTTTGATTAGGAGCACAGTGCAGCTATTGTGAGTGCTGCTGCTCACAACAGGGTTTTGAAGCAGACGGTCACACAGAGGAACTGTATGAGGCCCACAAGGTGCACCATTAACCACAGCTGCATTCATTTTAGCGCAGAGCTGCACGGGTCCTAGCATGCAACATTACCCTGAAAGCAACTGTCTCTCCTCTCGTCCCAGTGGGCCCCACCTTTCTGTCAGCGATGAAGTTGATATAATCTGCACAGCCCTGCGGCATCCAAGAAGACGCTGAGCACTCATCACATGGGTACGGTGAGGCCCTCCCTGCTCTCATCCAACATGTTTCCTCTAGTGCGGAAAGGAAATTAAGGTTTCAAGTAGGAGGTGTCTGATCATCTGGGGGAAAGAGATCCTGCAGAGGTGGCAGGGGAGAGCCAGCAATCTGCTTTAACAAGGTGCCTAACACATTTATAGAGAAGACTAGAGGATATGGGTGCCAGTGAGGAGATAAACTGAATGTCACTCGCAAAGTCCTTTTCAGCCCTTTGACTTATACACTAGAAAAGTTTAAAAGTGCTAATCCAGTGTCAGAAAGCAAAGGTGAGGGAAGGAAGAAGGGAAAGAAGGAACACAAAAGGGTTCTGGCAGAACTTCAGAGATTTTCACCACTGCTACAGCATCCAGTGCCAAGAAACAAAGACCCCAGGGCTTCTGGACCAGAAGGTCAAGTCTGCTCCTATGAGCAACTTCAAACCAGCCTCCTCTTCATTGCTACCATTTTAGGATTTGCTTTTTTGTTTGTTTTTAGTAAGTCACAAATAACAGCCTTATAAAATCAGGGAAAGTAGAAAATCATGAAGAGGGAAATTGCATCCACTGGCCTCAAGGAAAGGGGTGGAAAATGGGAGAGCACAACTGCTAGATATGCTACAACTCTTTATAGCTACAGAAAGCTTCACAGTGGTGCTCACAGTTACTCAGCATGTGTTTGCTAAGAACATGCCTGTGTTTTACCCTTTTCTTTGGGATTCTTCTGCATCAAAATTCTGTCTAAAGCTGAAAATGAACATGGGGGCTCTAGCTTTTTCCAGTTTAACAGGCAATAAACATACATAAACATTAACAAACAGATAAAAAGATGAACACATGTAGATAGGAAGGTAGATTCTCATCCTAAATTGATGCTAAGAGTTCTCCACTTAGTGAGAGAGAGTCTCTAGAAAACTATGGCCAGTCGACCACATTATGCTGCACACCAGTTTTAAAAAGAAAACACTCCTGTGAGGCCCTGGCTGTCACAAAGGGCACAACCACAACCTGCACTAAGGAAAAGCAGAATGCAAAAATAACTGTGTGTAATTTTGGAGGCTGTTTTGGGAAATCTGATCCAGTTGGGGTGAGTGGGCACACGCATGCAGTTCTATATCTCTATGCACATTGACAGGATGTCTGAGGCTTAATTTTTCTCTTGGATCAGCTCTGGGAAATCACTCACCTGCACTGCAGATCTCAATTACACATTCTGCATTCATTCTGCATGGGTGTGAGGGGAGTTCTGCACGTAGCATGAGTGTGAAACATGCAAAGGGACTGTCACAGGGTAGATAAAAGATCTGCATTGCTGATAGCAGAGGAGAATTTTGTCCTTATGCTTTAAAAAGGCTTAGCACATACTCATTGCATATACACAGGTTATGTTGACTCTCAGTCACCACTAAGAGTAATTTCTTTGTTCTCTGCTATTTTTAAACTTGCAAAGAAGAAAATAAGGTAAATTGGACATGACCCCAGAAGATGGAAATGAGCATAAGAGCCTAGATGAACATGACAAAAGCCACAATCAAGGCATAAATTGCATCCTTTTGTTGTCCCTCTCCCTGAGCCTAGGCATGCCTGGCCATATGATATGGTATATGTAAAGCACCACGCTCCTCAGGCACATCTGCAGAAAAGTCCCTGAGCTAAGCACAAAGATGGAGCTGCAAGTAGCATCCACAATGTCCCACCCAAATCGTTCAGACCAGGGGACCTGTTTTTAATTTAAGACATCTTGCTTTATGTCTTACATTGTGTGTAAATGTGGACACAAATGTAGCTACGTATCTGAAGTGCCTCTCAAGGTATTGAACATTTGCCTTGGTATGTGGCTATGTGCATATCTGATGGGCAGGGGTACCCGCAGACATGTGAGACACCTAACAGGACACAGACCAAGTTGTCGTGTTTGTCTGGTGATGGAAAATCGATCAGTAGCTTGTTAGAGATTAAGGTTCACTTCCATTGTTAAAAACATACAGAGAAAAACAACAGCTAAGAGTGCAAGGCTAAAATTCAGGGTGAAGCTGCAGCCTCAATCCTGCCCTGTGCCCACAATGGGTTCAGGGAGAGAACTGCAGATGTTTTGAGACAGAGTTTACATGTACCACTGCAGCAAGCTTGAACACAGACATCCAAAAGCACAAGGCAGATCTATTCCCTAATCTCTCCAACAGGTTTTTCCACACTTTTCCTAAAACAAGTTGTTTCATCTGTAATACATCCCCTCCTCTGCATCGTTCCCACCTGATAATTCTAGCTAATCTTTCTCTCCTCACAGAGACGCCGAGAGTCGGCAGGAGGAAGCGCGCAGCCCCACGCGCGCACTCACGCAGGCACTGCATGCGCGGCGCACGACGGCACCGAGGCACCGACACCTCCAAGGGCAGCCAGCAGGGCAACACGCACGTCCCGCGAGGGGCAGGCGCCCACGGAGCTCCCCGGCACAGGGACACGCGGGCACACGCGGGCGCAGCAGTGCGCACACGCGGGCACACAGCATCCCTGCACACCCACCACCCAACACACGCAGCAGCTTTGCACTAGTTCTCCTCTACTGACTTACGGTGCTGTTAAGACTACAATTTCGCTTGAGCTGGAAATTGGAAGGCTGAGCTGAGGAGAGAAGAGGGAGGGCAGGGAAGAGATTTCTTGTTATATTTTGTTCAAGGATAATTTTTTTTTGGCAGACAAGGATTCCCTTTGAA